GAGAGGAGCCGTATGTTTATCCATCTGCCCGGAGAGCCGCGATCCATCCAGCGAACACTGGAACCCCAGCGGTCTTAAGCAGAACTCGTACGTTGGTCAAACTGGTCCGCCTGCAAAGAACCCTGCGCGCGGGGGAATGTAGCGTCGGACTGACGATAAAAACGGAGTGTCTGTGTTTTCATTTTGACTAAATAAAAAAGAGAAACTTGGGACTTTACCCCTCAAATTTACGGAAGGACAAAGATGTAAAAGAAACTGCTAAAAAAAAAAAAAAAAAGAACGGTGGCATTTTGCCCTCCATTGTAAATAAATAAACGGATGACAGGATTCCAATTCGGCAGTTGGTATGAGAAAGAATTAATATTAATTCCTATTACCCGTAGCTACCAAAAAACTAGAATTCCATTTAGGAGGTATTGATTAAGCTGTTAATGCTCCACTGATTGATAAAATTGAGTACTGCTCCAGAATGTCAAGTGCTTCTGTGTGTAAACCCTAACATCTCAGACTCAGAATGGACATAAATGGATAATATTGACTTCAAACCTTTGTGCTTTAGATGAATCACTTGCATATAAAAGTTGGAATAATATCCAAGTATACCTTCAAATATGGTTCTCCGGGCTTTCATTGTACCACCGGAAACCTGAAACACACTTTTTGACAAATAGCCTCCCAATCACTTTGGAAACATTTCTTTTGAATGTCACTCTCCGGAAGAGAAGGACAAAATGTCACCGGGAATCGGTTGTGTCAACTTTAGACTGTTTCACAATTCTACGCAACACAATGACAGCTTTGAGTTTATGTAGTAATGTGTTGTTTACTCAAGCGGGCGCAAAGTAGAAATAATAGCGGCAGTTAATGGACTCAAAGCCAAGAGGGGCGACATGATTACGGCAATGGATCATTCGTCTATCCTCTTTCCGCTGCATTTAAATGCTGCCTTCAACACTTTACGGACGGAAGTAGGTTGTTGTAATGGTCCATCTGGAAAAGTAGGTTAGTCTCTTTGGGACAGCATTAAACTGTTTCAGGACCTACATCACAGGTAGACAAGTCCACAGCGGCCTCCGAGACCAGGTGTCTAATGGATTTGATGGCAGCGATGGAAATGCCCTGACCCAGTTTAATGCTCTTAATGCGTCGTCCTTGGAGAGAGATTACTCAGCGATATCTTTGTGTTTGCAGTTACAGCATGGTGAATCGTAGATCCAAATTACATCAGCAGGTACCAACGTTAAAGACTATTTACTTAATATCCATGCGAGCAGACCAAATCATTGTCGTTATCCTCACTATAAAACTTCAACAGCATGAAACGACAACTTTGAGGAGTCTTACATCAAAAGATCACTGCGATCGCTCTCGACACCCCAAGTGAGATCCTCAGGCATTCAGACTAATTAACACATAAGCCGCCAAAAGGAACAGCTGTACTGAACAAAAGGGATGCTAAATTGACTTTGCTTATTGCACTCGGTACCGAATGTGCCAGGCCAGTAAAAAAAAGAAGAAACTGATTTGTTAAGTCTGCTGCTCTCTTATTCTTAATTCTCTGGCCACGCCTCTTCTTCGGATGACTTTCATTGGCGCTATCATCCCACTATTACAAGTTCAATGCAGCAAAAGTCCTGCTGCAAAATAAGATAATGGGCTGGGATGGGATCTTCAGATGTGGCGGGGGGCATTAGTGAGCAATATTTGCCTGGCGGAGGTAATTGCAATGAATTTCTTTCTGTAGGCTGCAGGCAAGCATGGATCCATTTCTCATTTTTGCCCTGAGGGTAATCGATGATGGGGGTGACGAGACAACCGCACACACTGAGTGAGCAAAGGGTGCTCTGAAAGGTTCAAAGTAGCCTGCTGGCTCATTGATATTCAGCTCCAGTTGGCACTCCAACCACGTTTTGTGTTGTGAGCGCACTCGGTAATCGCCTCGGGTCAGCGAAGGGACCTGTTAATTCACAGAACCTCTGCCAGAGGTATACAGTCAATGCAAGTATCCCAATACCCGGCAGAGTGGTAGAACCCAGAGAAGAACCCAGAAGTGAGCAGGGCCCATCGAGTACTGCACAACTTCTGACCTGCAGCTGGAGCGATTTACACACCGTCAGTTATTAATCACGTCATGCTCAGGTCTGATGGACGAGCGTGTCAAGCAGATTCATGTTAACATCCTGATTAATTCATGATTTCACTTCAACTAATTACTGTTTCAAGTGTAAAATAAGTAGAATCTGAATGAAAAGTCATAAAACAGCTGCCACGTACCTACGGCTGCACCTGCCGTTGCCTAAAGGTGACATATGCGCTACGTCGGCTGCACCTGTTGGTATTTCTTTGCTTATTGCACAGATTAGTCCGTATGGAAGGGTGTGTGTCTGTGGGTGTGTGAATGCATCGAGTGGAATTTATGTTTTTCTGCATTATTTTCTGTTTATTTAATTTAGTATTTTTAAGATTGGCTTAATGAAACAGTGTCTTGATTTGATTGGAATGTAACAAACTGAAATGATTTAAAATGTGAAATTCTTTATTTACAATTCATGGAAAGGCCAGGAACCAGAGGACTTTTTTGTTGATAATGAAATAATGGATGTATTGTCTATATACATTCATATATTACATTTTCTAATATTGGACTGAAATTACATTTTCTTGCCGTTTAAAAAAAAAAAGAATGTGATTTAATCACATTTCTTGCATGCAATCTGTGTATAACTCGTCCAACAGGAACCCTGCATAATAGCTAGAATTCACAAAATCCATTGCCTCGAAGAGCACCCAAATAAAGTGTGTGGGGGGGCGTCTCAGCTGTGGAATAGCGCGCACGTCCATAACCTTGAGCCATGACGAAGCTCCACTTCCTTGACCAGTCTGAGGCAGGCGCCCGATGGCGTCCGATGCTTCCGGCATGAATCACACGCCACCACAGCTCGTGCGACGTGTTAAGTGGGAGGGGCTCTGCGAGCAGGAACGCGGGCGCCTGAGGTCTCCTCTTTAACGTTCCCAGTGGCTTCGGTTCTCCCGGTTCCCTTTTGAGTTGTGGGTGATTGTGGCGACTCGACTGACGTTGTGTGCGTTAAACACAAAAGAAGAACAACGCAACGCGAGGCAAACGCCACGGGGGGCGGTTTGCGCATGGCGGGATAATGGTCGGGATTATTAGCCACGGAGAGATGTTGATGGCGTGATTAGATGTTCCTCTGCTGCGCTCGCTCCTATTTAAGTCACGTGTTGTGTTTTTTCAACCGCCCGAGCTTCATTGGTAGTCAATTTTCCTACATGTTTAAAAAGGAACGCGAGAGAAGATGTTTCCAGGCTTTGTCTGCCGCTTCTTGAACAAATGTCAGGCCAATTAAAAAGCTGCAAAGGCCAGCCTGCGAAGGAAAGAACTGCTTTTCTATTTTTTTTAAAACATGTTGGAGTATGAATATATTAATAGATAAAACCCAAATACACCTGATAAAATAAAGGCCTAAGCAGATAAGTTGGAGCTACGAGAATCCCCGTGATGGAGCCCCCCCCCCCCTTCCCTCCCCCGCCACACACACAATGAAATACATATTTTTATGTATTTAATCAAAAATGGTGTCAAAACGAAAAGAAGAGGAATTTGGCTTTGGAAAAAGTGTTCAATTTCACACCAGAATTAATTCTCTGCTGGCATTCTTTTTCTGTCAAATTTGAGGGTAGAAATGGACTAATGTGTCACGCTGCCAGCGAGAAAATAAAAGGAATTGGACAAGCACACTCTGAAAAATGCAAATCATAAGCAGAAGGCGACCGTTGAAAAGCTGTGAGGTTTGAGAAAAAAAAAGAGAAAATAAATTATACTGTTGTTGTGCTTGTCATGTGAAAGTAAAAAAAGAATATTGTAATTGGATCGCTGGTCTTCTGGCTTGTGTTGTGATCTTGTGGTGCTGAACAGACTCCTCTCATAAACTGCACTTCACGCGCGTATTGTCGGGATCGCAACAGGTGGACCCGAAAAAGGATTTATTGAACTAAAGTGCCACAGAAACGCCTCGGAGAAACAAATGGCCGACTAGAAGAAGGCGAGAACAGCGACGCACGCGGTTTGAATACAACGAGGGGGCGCGGGGGGATTGGACACAGGAGGACAGCAGGGCAGGAAGTGAAGCTGACCCGGGAAAACACAAAATAAAACACCACTACGTGTTTGGATTTGCTGCAGTAATCGTTGTCAACTGCAGGAAATTGAAGTGGTTTCCATTACTGAATTCTCGATGATATGAGGGGACAAACGCATCCCATGTCTCTCTGACTGCCTCTCCTCGGGTGTCTCTTTCTATTTCTCCATCATTCGCCATGAGTGCTGCCGCTAGATCTCCTTTCTGAAGGGCTGTTCTTCATCATTACATTATTATGCATATGTCAACGATTGCCTTCTTGAAATGTCTATAAAAATCATCAGGATGAGTTGTCTAGACACAAAGTTAAACATTTAACCATTGATTTGAATCACCAAATCAATATGGCAAAGATGTCTCATTTTGTCTTCAGACACCAAATGTTTTAATATTTGTAAAAACTTTAAAAACTTTGTTGAGAGTAAAATGAGGGTGAACTTTGATTGAAGGTGCCGTGTGTGCAGAACGCAGGAGGAAGAGAAGTATGCCGGATGAATATTGAGAGCTGGTGGTCGGTTTGTCCCTGCAGGGCTACGGTAGAAACATAGCGGCTGGCTCCGTGAAAATGAACCGCTCCGTATTCAGAAATAATACAGCTCATTGTAATGCAAAAAAATAAGAGATTTGTATCACTTTGTGAATTAACACTAATGAAATATACTTATATATACATATAATATACATATAGTTACGTTTTATTTGTCCAGTCGAGATGCATCGATCGCAAAAAGCAGTACAAATCGACTTACGGCCTCCGTATCGACTTCGGCCTTGAACTGCAGGTCACATGACACATGCACGTACACGAGATATCGCCACACGCATGTGCATGGACTCGCTTACCGAGCCAGTGTTCACCGGTGATCTTGCCGAATCCCTCCCGGTAGGACTCCCACGCTCTGAAGAAGCTGACCGCGCCGTCCTCCCTGCGCTGGATCACCTGCACAGCCGGGACAGCAAGACAAGAGGTCAGGGGTGAGATGAGATCCAACCACACACACGCACATACACACACACACATGGGCGTCCCATCCTCATTTGTGCAGTCATTCCAACAGCCACTGTTGGTGCCGCAGCTCATCTAGAACTAAACTAGAATGGATCTGCGCTTTTTTTTTTTTTACAAATGAATAATGCAAATTTTCTTCCCTCCAAAAAGGCAATTTGTCAAAAGGCTAATAAAAAGAACCCATTAAATCGCTGACCGACTTTGAATCAAATCGCCATGGATTCTGCATCCTTGATCGCAGTCCCAGGTAAGAGGTGGTGGTCATGAAACAATAATCCTAAATGTGGAGGAAATGAAAGCAACCCCTTCAGGACAAAACAAAACAAAGCATACGTTAGCAGATATTCAGCAAATTAGCTCTGGCGAGTTTGTGTGCATGTGTGTGCGTGTGTACTTATGCATGAGGTGACAGTGCAGCATCTCAATGCATTACATGTGCTCACATTCGAAGGGCCATGTTGAGGGTGCAGGAAAATTGGAAAATGTGCTCCTGAGGAGGAAATGCACGCAGATGGGAAACATCACTCGCAGTTGGAAGGCTGTGCTAACGTTGAAATGACAAAGGAAACTCCCAGAGACAGTTTATGTTCAGCGTGACTAATCCCTTAGCATACCATAAGGTACCAGATGGCACCCGCACACATATTTGCTTTTAACATCATCAAAGATAAACGGCTCAATCCTGCGCAGCAGTGGCAAAAAACCGTCTTCTCGGTCGTAATTGTCTTCAACGTAATCTCCTTGATCATCATCACTGTGTCATCATCAGTTATCAACACCATCTAGGGATCGTAGGGATCCTCCTCCTCCAAGAAGCCGACTTCCTCAGGTCCCCGTTCAGAGCTCTCTGGAGTTATTGTGTAAATTATGTTGGAGGAATTCAAAGATCAATCTCCTCCCTTATCGCAGAGATATGAGATATGCGCCTTTAAAGCGCATTGGACGCAGTGACACCGTTTCTAAACAACCTGAGACCTAACGAGGCACTGACACAACGTCTTGTTCTCCTGATAACAACACCTGTGTGGGTAGCAATATATCTGCGTGGTATAAATGCCGGGCGTTCCATCAATGCGGATCCCTAAAAATGGGTCAAAAAACAAACAGTGCTGCTGAGCTTTGTGTATTCATATCTTTGTGGTACAAATAGCAGATTATGTCATGTGGCCTCGCAGGCAGTACTTGTCCTTTTGTCCGCTGGCAGTAAAAAAATAAAATATATGTACACGGACCACATATGTTTACCGTGATACTTTTGCTTTTTGATACACAACTCAAACGCTTACATGACATTTGAGTTCAAAGAGGTCAGCACGGAGGTCACGAAAGCACCTGCTACACATTGAGCAACGAAGAGGACGGCTCAGCTGCTGCACCAGGCTCTCCCGGGCTTCGCCTCGGTCACGGAGCTTTACACCGTCACACCAGCGTCCCGGTTATCTTTAGCCATCCGCGATTACACCTCTTAGCTTCCTTAAGCTGACAAGGAAATCCAACTCGACACTTCAACACAACTCAACCCCTTGTAATGAATCTGATTCTCAAACTAATACTCTTGTAGACATGGTGAACTATTGACTGCAGGGTTGTGTTACTCGTGTTGCATTTTCTGTTTTTTTATGGCAACTTGTATCATCAGACTCATAAGAAACCATTGTATGGTTTTAGATTTCACCTTGTGGCACATTAACATACTAAGTTTCTCTTGTATTTCTACAGAACAGGTATATTATTGCTTCTGATGCAATATTGATACATAGTATACAGTGTATGAACTATAAATAACATCATTACACACACAGCCAGACGACTGGAGGGACGTCTATTTCCACAAGTGTTAAGGGTGTAGAACAGCTCAAAGCACAGATGGAGAGGTTCAACTCTACTGTGAATTCAGCTAAATGAAACAGCCCCTTGTGTTGTATACTCACACTGTGAAGTACGTGTTATTATAGCACATGACATCTAGTGTACTACAGCTGCACCAGGACACTTTAAGGGAAATACAATCTCAGGAATACAAACATATTGTGCCTGAAAACATGGTGATAATATACAAATAAACGGATGCCCTCACACAATAAATGCACATATATATATACGACATGTTTGACTCGTGGAAATAATAAAAAGGCGTGCGACGATGAAGCAAATCAAAGGACCTTGGGAAAAGGGCTGCGTCACTTGACCGTGAAAAAGCGGCAGCGTCATCGCGTGACGGATGCGTCAGCCGGCCGCCGGTGTGTTTTCTCCCGGTTCCCCCGGTCAACTCGTGAGATTCATTTCCACCTCTGTGTCAACGGCACCGCAGCACAACAATAGTGTGTGCCAGGTGAGATAAGGACAGCATCCCTGTCCTTCAGACGAGGACCCCTCCGGCCCGCTTGTCTTACTGCCTCCTTCGTCATGCCTGGCGTTTGATAATGCCCGGTTAAAGATGAGGTACCCCGAACTTGTGTTTCTCTCTCTCCCCCTTTGGCACTCGCTGTGAAAGAAGCCGTCTATGGCGGCAAGATACGCGGCCGAAACGCACCACAGCCAGCCGTCTATTCAAATCCCGCGTCGCCCTTCAGAACAATGCATGGCTCGCGTTATCGCAGCGGCCTGCATGCATTCACGGAGAACCGCCACCAACAAATGGGTCCGCCAGGCTGCAGACGGAGAGAATGCAGACCGAGCGGCGGCGGCGTCCTCCCGTCCGATAACGGCTCCAAAACCACCAGCAACGTCTGCTGCTGTGAATCAGCGTGAGGGAAACGGGCCGGTGGTCACGCGAGGCAGAACTCTTCAGCATGCGGGTTAACCGGCGCACAGCACAGTTCAGATGAGGGTTAACCGTCTAGTCGGTCTGACCATCCCTCCTTCCATGTCGAGCATCCTTGTAAGACTGTAGAGCCACTCTCAGGTTTAATTGTACTGTCCACCCTGAAGGTCAGTATCTGTGTGTGTGTGTGTTCCCTGGAGACATGGCGCTCACTAAAATCTCCAATCCTTCTGTTTCACATGTTTCAGGAGGGAAAAGCCGTGGTGAAAATGGCAGGGTGCAGGGAAACATGGGGCCGGGAGTGGTGGACATGGCTGTTTGAAAGACAACACGCGTGTGACGCGTAAATGTTTGCACACATGTGTCTAATGTGACGTCGCAGGCATCCACACCCGCTGGCAGGGATGCTGCATATAGCTGTGTAGAGCATCAAAAAGGTCATCACGTGCACTTCAAGAGCTGTTTAATAAATGGATTTCTGGCCTTCTTGTTAGCGCACGTACCGTCGCTTTTGTCCTGTGTGCGTGTGTGCGCGTCTCTTTTGTATTCATGGTTGTATAAGCTTGTGGGTGTTAATGTTAATGTTGGAGTTTGTGGGCACCGTGAAGAAGTTTTGTTGCCTTCGGCCTGTTTTATTACGGATAACATGCAGAAATATACAGCCAAGGGGCAGATAAGCAGACAGCACAATGTCTCCAGCGCTTACGTTCCGGGTTGGCTCATAAAGCACTTGCTCCCAACACCGGTGGACACAGTGGCAGAGAGAAAAGAGCGAGGAGGAATTCATGAGACGGCCAGCGCCACAAAACATCAGCTTTTCAATTTCACCTTCAAGGAAACACAAGGCAGCAGTGTGCGAGTGTGCACGAGCGCACATGGTCGTACTGGGGGATGAAATGCTTTTGATTTACAGAGCCTCCCAGCGCCCCCCCCCCCCTAAAAACACAGCCACAAACACACAGTCAACATCCCCGATGACAAATCCTTAGACCCAATGTCCGGCTGGTGGGCAGCGCCTGACATCCGAGCGGTTTCCGTCGAGGTCAGAGGCTGACAGAATTGCTTTATCGTGGCGTCGGGTCGGTGCCGCTCGAGGCAACGAGACTGAGACCGAGGCTGTTTTAAAGTTTCACCAAGGCTTCATGTGAAATCATAAAGTACAAAACCGACGCGACACAGACCTGCAAGATGAGTAAAGGCTGTAATTACATTAGGACCCATTGCGCTCTGGAGAGAAATGTTTTAAAAGCGTGCTTCACTGTGTCGCCTGTATCTGCATTCCACCGCCCTGAAGCAAAGTGAAGCAAATAAAAACGGCCTGAAGCTTGCAGGGGGGGGGGGGGGGGGGGGGGAACTCTCTCATATCGGGAGTTGCCATCTCGCGGTTAAATTTTCAATCTGGGCACGTTAATAATTTAGGCTCACGAGCGTAGTGGATTGGAGCCGGAGAGGTTGTGTATTAAGATCAGATAGCTCGTGAAAGAAACCCCGTGTGACCCAGCAGACCGATGATGTAGTCTCCAAGTCGGATGAATAAAGATTCATGGTAAACATGCTGTCGGTATCAATAGTTCAACAATCTGCCCAAACCTGTAGGAGTTATTTATTGCCTTGTTGTGTGTCAGTGTGCATCTGTGGGGCAGGAACGAAGGATCATTCTGGGACAGACTCTCCTCGTGTAGTTCTGGTCCTCCCCCATCAGTTTCTTTTTTCCACACTGCAGTGTTTTTACTTTTTCCCCTTTTTCTTGCAGCTCTTTGCAGCTCGAAGGTAATTAATTCTTTATACGTGCTGTTCAACGTGCCCCAAAAAGCAAACAGCCGTTCTCTTTGAGGCAACTCGTTCCTTTCAGAATTACCTCCTGCGTCGCACAATGTGGCGAGTGCTGTTTACGAGTTATTCAATAAATCCTTCTTGAAGAAGTAGCTGGAAAACCAGTAATTACAAAAGGTACTATGGCGTTACCGTCTTTTAGATTATCATTTATCATTTAAGAATGTCCACATGCATCATACTCGGTGAACACTTGTTCTCGTTTTATGGCGATGATAAAAACATGTAATGATTTACTACATTTAGCTTTCCGCTTCCTTCTTCCCCACCGTCGTTTATTGCACTGCGGGTGGCAAAAAAAATCCCATTTTGAGTACTAGTTAAACTACTTCAA